GGGGAGGTAGAGGTTGCAGTGAGCCAAGATCATGCCACTGCAGTTCCAGCCTGGGTGACAGAGCCAGATTCAGAGATTTAGAGATTTAGAGGGAGAGAAAGAGAGAGAGAGGGAGAGAGAGGTGAGCAGCCTGTATGCATGAAGGAAGAAGACAGTGGGTCATTCTCCCCACTAAATGGTGTTGGTAGGGACTGTTACATTCTTTGTGTTCTGTTGTGTTCTGATGCTTTAACTCAGAGCCTAGTGCTGTGTAGACCCAAAGACCAGAGTAAGAGAATGGAGAGTCCTAGGAGAAAGATGACAGAAGGGGTAGAAGATATCGTTGAGATGTCAAGCAATGAATAGAATATACAGGAATATAGAAGAATGAATCTGAGACCTTCATGCATCACATTCTCATTGAGTGGTACTTAGAATCATCTTTGAAAAACAAGGCTGGATACGCTGCTTGGGGCCCTGGGGAGGAGTGTTATCACTGCAGAGGAAGCTGGTTGACCCATTCCCTTGGGGGAATTAAAAGTTCTGTACCCCAGGCCTTATAGTCCCGAATTGTGCCTCAGAAGCAGGACAAAAGAAAGTGGAAGCTAATATAGTCATTGGCTGGGAAGAAAAATAGGTCTTTGAGAATGTTGGGGGAGAGTGTTGGAGATTAAAAGGGAAGGAAAATTAGGATGATTAAATAGGAAAAGAAAAATGTAGGTGGATAATTCACAGAAGGGGTTCAGAGTCCTTTTCACCTTCTTGCTGAAAATGGATTGTCCTCCAGATCCATTTTGTCAGAGGAACATGCCTAAGAATCCAGGCACAGAGCTGAAGGTACTTGATAAATCAAAAAGGAAATTGGCTTCCGCCTGAATGACTAAATACAGGAGAAAAAAATAGTGCAAAATATGGGATAAAATGTTTCCTTTTTTGCTTGTATGTTTCCTTTGTAAAGGTCTTTTGGTTCAGATTCAATTAGAGTCATATATTCAGTGTAAAGTATGTATGTTTACTGACAAGAAACAAATCAATAAAAAACAAAACAGGGCAGGGTGAGGTGGCTCACGCCTGTAATTTTAGCACTTTGGCAGGCTGAGGTGGGTAGATCACTTGAGGCTAGGTGTTCAAAACCTCGTCTCTACTAAAAATACAAAAATTAGCCGCGCATGGTGGCAGGTGCTTGTAATCCCAGCTACTTGGGAGGCTGACGCTTGAGAATCTCTTGAATTCAGGAGGCAGGCGTTGCAGTGAACCGAGATTGCACCATTACACTCCAGCCTGAGCGACAGAGTGAGACTCTGTCAAAAGACAAACAAACAACACACACACACACACACACACACACACCATACACAAAACCCCCAGAGGCCCAGAAAGGTTAAGTGACTTTATTAAAGTCGCAGTGGTTTCCTGACTCCCAGTGCAGCTGTCCTGCCACACAGGGAAGGCAGCACCCCCATTCACCCTACTACTAGCCTGCCTGTCTTATTTCCAGGACAGTTTCCTCACCACCTTGGCACAAACTCCCGGTTCACTTGAAACAAATGGCTTAGCCCTGCTGGGTCTTGGTTTTCTCAGCTGCAATGAAGATATGGAATGGATGACCGTTCACAACCTGTGTTTCATTCCTAAAGAATAAGAAGGGAATCCAATTCGCCACCAACTCAGCATTTGCCTTTTCACTGCCCTGGAAAAGTAGTTTTTAAAACGTGGCCCCTGACCAGCAGCATCAGCATCACCTGGGAACCTATTTGAAATGCAAATTCCAAGGTCCACCTACTGAATCAGAAACTCTGGAGGTGGGGCCCAGCAAAGGGATTTAGCAAGCCTTCCAGGGAGTCCCGCTACAGCTCAAGTTTGAGAAACACTGCTCTGAATTTTTTTCTGACCAACACACACGCGCGCGTGCGCGTACACATACACACGCATAGGTAACTAACTCTTCCGTGGCCACTAGCACCCCACGCCCATGCCTCCAGCCCCAGCCCCAGCCCCAGCCCTCCCTCCCCATTCCTCGCTGCTCCATCCTGGGATGATGAATGGAGGTCAGGGCGCTGTCAATGGAGGACGCGGCAAACCCTTCCCAACCGACCGAGGGGGTCGCGGGAGGCTGCGTTAAGGCTTCCCTGAGACTGGTTTCCTTATCATTTTCTCCACCGCCGCTGTCTCATTTTCTGATGAGTTTGCTTTTAATGATTTATCCAACAGTTTGTCTTGCAGAAGACCGTTGAGAGGTGGGTGTCAGGAAAGTCTTGGTAGAGACTGGAAGAAAGGAGGGAAGGATTGTACATGGAAGAGCAAGGGTGCGAGGTGAAGCTAAAGAGGAAGTGGGGGCTTCAGGGGAGCCCCTGGGTTCGGGGAAAAAGGAGAAGGTGGTGCTTTTGGTATGAGAAAGAAAAAGAAGTTGGAGGAGAGCGTGGGTCTGAGGCACAGCAAAAAGTGGGTGTTAACGGGAAAACTGCCCTAGAGTTTGGGGGACTTTTTTTTTCCAGCTTCCTTTCCAAGACTTTTTCTTTGCTCCATTTTGCTCCTCCCCCTCCTCCCTGCCTCCTCCACTCCCCCCTCCGCCTCCTCGCGCGGTAATGGGAGGCTCCTAGGCAGGAGAAGCAAAAGAAGGAATTGTTTGCGAGTTCAGTCATCCAAAAAGCTTCTTCCATATGGAGGGACCGGGTGCGCTGGGCGCGGCGTCCCTTGCCTTGTCCTGCTGCCGCCGCCGCGGCCGC